GAGCTTCCGCAGCAGTCGGACGTCGCTGCACCTACCTCAGGCCTTCTCGCCGCGGTATCGACTTCTGCGCCTGCTGCAGCCTCACCTGCTGCTCCTGCAGGACCCTTCCACCTCCAAGACCTGATGAGCCAGCTGCTGACTGGTATCACGGCCCTCACAACATCAGTCGCCACACTGGTGGACGAGACGCGCCGCCGAGAGAGGTCTGCATCCCGTGCGCCCGGCCGCGCTCGCCACCGTCCACCACGCGACCTGTCTGCTGCTGCCCGGTCACCCAGCCCTGCAACCAACACATCTACCGGCGCTGGTGCTTCCTACTGCTGGTACCACCACAAGTTCGGTACCAACGCGCGCTCATGTCGGTCACCGTGCTCGTGGTCTGCAACCGCAACTCAGACCTCGGGAAACCAGCAGTAGGACAGGTGACACAGACGTCTGCACCTGCCCTGCTCAACCCTGACGTCCCTCCAGCCAGCGGCCTTCTGAGACTCAAGGACAACAACACTGGTATCACCTTCCTCATCGACACTGGAGCCGAGTACAGTGTTCTTCCAGCGACACCCACCGATCGTGCTCGCGGAACCAACGGACTGGATCTGCAAGCAGCCAACAACAGCAGCATCCAGACCTATGGTCAGCGCATGCTCACGCTTTCTCTCGGCCTCAGAAGAGACTTCAACTGGATCTTCATCATCGCGGACGTCTCCCATCCTCTCCTAGGAGCCGACTTCCTCTCCTCGTATGATCTCCTCGTCGACACCAAGAGAGGCCGTCTCATCGACCACCTAACTGAGTTGTCTTCACCTGCTTCACACTCTTCCGTGCCATCCACCGGACTGACAGCCGTCGTCGGAACCGACAACCCAGCTTTCCTTAACCTCCTTCGAGAATTCCCCAGCCTCACCCAGCCGTCACATCATCCGGAGCCACAGCACTCAGTCCGACATCACATCGAGACTACCGGCCCTCCGGTCTTCTGCCGCCCACGCCGTCTGGATCCAGCTCGACTCGCTACTGCCAAGGCAGAGTTCCAGCGCCTCCTCAGTCTCGGAGTCATCCGACCCAGCAGCAGTCGGTATGCATCACCGCTGCACATGGTGCCCAAGTCGTCTGGAGATTGGAGACCCTGTGGTGATTACCGTGCACTGAACCGCATCACAGTGCCTGACCGGTACCCACTACCACATCTTCACGACTTCACTGCCTGCCTCGCTGGGACATCGATCTACTCTCGGCTCGACCTCGTCAGGGCCTTCAACCAGATACCGATGGCCCCAGAAGACATCGCCAAGACAGCGATCACAACGCCCTTCGGCGCCTTCGAGTTCCTCCGTATGCCGTACGGTCTCCGGAACTGCGCCCAGACCTTCCAAAGGTTCATGGATCACATCCTCCGTGGCCTGGACTTCGCCTTCGTCTATGTAGACGACATCCTCATCGCCAGCAGCAGCATCTCGGAACATCTCACACACCTCCGAGAGGTCTTCAGCCGTCTTTCCCGCAACGGTGTGCTCCTCAACCCATCGAAGTGCGCCTTCGGCATGGAGAGCATCTCCTACCTCGGCCACCAGATCTCCAGCGGAGGCATCACTCCTCTCGACGATCGAGTCAGCGCGATCAAGAACTTCGACCGTCCAGAGTCAAAGAAGAGCCTCAAGAAGTTCCTGGGGATGATCAACTTCTATCACCGCTTCATCCCACACGCTGCTGCTCTTCTGGCACCTCTCCACGGCCTGACTGCCGCAGACGACCGAGCTGCTTCAGTCACGTGGACCCCAGAGGCAGACGCCGCCTTCTCTGCAGCCAAAGCCGCCCTCGCTGACGTCACCCAGCTCGCTCATCCCGTCAAAGATGCAGCTCTGAGCCTCAGCACTGACGCCAGCAGCACGGCAGCCGGCGCCGTGCTCCACCAGCGAGTTGGTGGTTCTCTTCAGCCTCTCGCCTTCTTCTCGCGCAAGTTCACGCCCACCCAACGCCGCTACAGCACCTTTGGACGGGAATTGCTCGCCATGTACCTCGCCGTGCGACATTTCCTGCCCTATCTGGAAGGACGCGACTTCGAGATCCTCACGGACCACAAGCCGCTCGTCTTTGCTCTCAAGGCCAACGGCAACGCCAACCATTCTCTCCGTGAACAACGTCACATGGACCTGATTCTGCAGCACACCAGCAAGATCGGACATGTTCCTGGACACCTCAACCCGGTAGCTGACGCCATCTCACGGATCAGCTCAGTGTCTGCGCCGGCTTCTGCCGCAGCTACACCCTCACCCGGCCTTCTGAGCCTGGCCGACATCGCCCTACACCAAGCCAACGATCCTGACCTGCCGAAGCTGCAACAATCCTCATCTCTGGTCATCCGTGACTTCCCAGTCCCTGATCATCCGCATCTACGTCTCTGGTGCGACACCTCAACGGCCACACCTAGACCTGTAGTCCCAGCCAGACTCCGCCCTTCCATCATCAAGAGCTTCCACGACTTGTCTCATCCTGGCATCAACGCTACGCGTCATCTCATCTCATCGAGGTTCATCTGGCCCCACATCAACGCGGACATCCGTGCCTTCGTCCGGAGCTGCCAGCACTGTCAGCGTGCCAAGATCCAGCGCCACACGAAGCCACCCATGGGCAGCTTCCAGCCACCTGACTCTCGCTTCCTGCACATCCACATCGACCTTGTCGGACCACTTCCTCCGTCCCATGGCAACTCCTATCTCCTGACTGTCGTCGACCGCTTCACCCGATGGCCCGAGGCAATTCCTCTGCCCACCATGGACGCCGTCACGGTGGCTCGGCATCTCGTCAGCGGCTGGATCGCCCGCTTCGGAGTACCCGAACTCATCACCACCGACAGAGGATCCCAGTTCGAGTCCCGCCTCTGGACAGAAGTCTCCAAGCTTCTCGGCACCTCTCGGATCCGGACCTGCGCCTACCACCCAGAAGCAAACGGGATGGTAGAGCGCTTCCACCGCCAACTGAAGTCAGCTCTGCGGACCGATGACGACGCCGTCTCCTGGTCGGACCGACTTCCTCTGGTGCTACTCGGAGTGCGCACGGCCCTCAAGGAGGATCTCGGATGCACCGCTGCAGACCTAGTCTATGGTTGCAGTCTCCGACTTCCTGGTGACTTCCTCTCCCCCATGTCGTCGGACACTTCTTCTGATCCGGCTTCCCTAGCCTCTCGTCTCCGTGCCGCCATGTCGGAGCTCCGTCCAACTCCTCCTCGTCCTGGCTCCCGCCAAATCTTCATCTCTCAAGACATGCAAACCTGCTCCCACGTCTTCATCCGACGCGATTCGCATCGCTCTCCTTTCCAATACGTCTATGACGGTCCTTATCGTGTCCTATCCCGCGACCAGCACACCGCCACCATCGACCGTCTCGGGCGACGCGACACCGTCACCCTGGCTCGGTGTAAACCGGCCTTCACGGACAACATGCCTGCCGCAACGCCGCCTGCAGCACCGGACGTCCTGGTGAACGACACGCCTACTACAGCGACAGACAGCTCGGTGGACCGCCCGCCTGCTGCATCGCCTGCACCCAGCCGCTCAGGTGCCCCCGGCGGCTCTCGCCCGGCTCGCCGCGTGCCGCCGGACCCGCCGCCTGCTTCGCCACCCCCTCTCCGCCGTTCGTCGCGTACTCGCCGCCAAACATCTTTTTATGGTGTTTAACTAGGGCGGGGGAGTGATGTAGCCATGTACTTCTGCCGGTCACCGCTAGGCCCATGTTGCTTCTGCCGGTCGCCGCTAGATGCTGTGAACCGCTAGTTACAGTTTTGTTAATAGGTGTCGCTTTTACCAGTCTCTAAATTGCTAAGAGCCTTCGATTAAGTTGTGCGCCCCCCTTTTAACGTTCCGTTCGCTTAAACTGCTGTATTGTTTGGACAACTGCATTGGCTATGTGTATATTGAAAACCATATGTATTCGTTTATTACATTCGATGTTCTCGCCAACATGTGTGCAATACTAGATAAGTAAGTTCGTATGTAAAACTATATATGTCTCGATTTTGTGGCGAAATACAAGAGATATCTGTATATTACAGTGTTTCTACTGGCTACACCAGCCAGAACCTATTAATTTACCTACCTCATTCAGTTTTGTGGGCGGCGTCCCCGGTGGGCTGAGTGACGTCAGCGCGGGTTGGATCGGTGGCCTGTCGTGGCGGCGGCAGTGGTAGTTTTGTTTCATTACGCTACGTTACCTTCATTACGTTGTATGTTTATGTTATATTCGACGTTGATCTGAAGGCCATGTTCATGTTGTTTTATGTTTATGATGTCTATCTGATTATGTTACAAGAGGTGGTGCCTAGAGTCAAGCACATTGTGCTTTTGCACCACTCTTATATTATTTTGTTTTATCTCTGTTATTCATGTTCATTTTCCGATCGTTTTACTTATAGGTTGTCGATGCGCAATAAACATTCTGGAATGGAAAAAAACGGCTGCCTGACGGTAACCTCATCTGGACTCGCAGCCGCTGTATGTAGCCTTACCTGGACCTGCAGCAGCTGTCTGACGGTAACCTCCTCTGAACCTGCAGCCACTGTAGGTGGCCTTACACTGACCTGCACCAGCTGTGACCTCACCTGGAGCTGCAGCAGCTGTGTGACGGTAACCTCATCTGAACCCGCAGCCGCTGTATGTGACCTCACCTGTGGACCTGCTGCGGCGAGCGTGACCTCACCAGGGTCCTCACCAGCTCCAGCTGTGACCCCACCTGGGCCTGTATCAGCTGTGACCTCACCTTAACCTGCAGCAGCTGAGCGAGGGTGTCCAGCGCCCGCACCAGCTGTGACCTCACCTGAACCTGCAGCAGCTGTATGAGGGTGTCCAGGGCCAGGACTTGCTGCAGCTCAAATTGAACTCACCTTAACCTGCAGCAGCTGAGTGAGGGTGTCCAGCGCCCGCACCAGCTGTGACCTCACCTGAACCTGCAGCAGCTGTGTGAGGGTGTCCAGGGCCAGGACCTGCTGCAGCTTTAAGTGACCTCACCTTAATCTGCAGTAGCTGTGTGAGGGTGTCCAGCGCCCGCACCCGCAGCTCGGTGGGGGCGTTCTGCGCCAGCCTCCCGATCTCCGTCACACAGTCAGTTATCGCCGGCTCTGAGAGAGAGAGAAACAAAACAGGCCCGTCTGACTCAGGGGGAGAACACATGGCTATCACGGCAACACCGACCGCCAGCGACCAGGACTTATAACAACAAGCTGTAGTCCTATTTCTGATGGCTCATCCTTATTGGATATAAAAACCATCGCATATCGTTTAGTGTCAACATCATTAATAAAGACCTCGTTTGGAAAAGGTCATCCATTATCCCTAACAACCGCTATCACTAGGTCACCAAAGCACTAATGCACAAAATATCTGGCAAAAAACGACCAATTACAGTATCGCGGGCCGCGGGTTGGTTGTGTGACAAACAGAGGTGTAAATAAGGACTGTTTTCGCGCTCTGTTGCCACCCCGATATAGCACCGTCATCTGCCCTGGTTGGCCGGCGCTGTGCCATCCGGTGCCAGCCGCCGACTGCCGGGACTGACCGGTTCGCCACCGGCCGACACCGGTAGGTATACGGCGATCAGCGGCAGCATTAGCGCCATTAGCAGTGTCGCGCTGCCTCCCCGGGGACCGATCACCGACCGGGGAACACAGGGCGGGTGTTCCCGGGGACGCGGACGGGGACTAATTGTTTACATAACCTGCATGCCTTATTACAGCCCCAAACCAACGCACAGTGCACCATCCAACCGGCATGCTTCTTAGAGGGACAGAAGACCCCGGATACAGCAGCAGGACAGTTCACGAAACTGAGTTTGCATTATCGATCCCACGGAGCTATGTCCAATAAATCACTTCCGAATGGCGGCGGCTGGTCTGCAGTGGTCAGCCTAGGTTCGCCCCGAGTCACAGGAGCGGAGACAGAGAGAGCCAGCTGCCAGGGGAAGCAGTTGAAGGCGCGCACCATGTCGTCTAGTAGGACAATCAAGGGGTGTGCCACCTGGGCCCCGTGGTGGGTGGTCCCGGGGGATGTCCTTACCGCAGATGGATGGTTGGTTAGGGTGAACGGATGGGGTGATATAACGGTAAGCACACGCCACCGGCATAGGTTACTTTGCATTTACGAAACTCATCGTTGTACCTACATTCCTCTATCTAACACCGTGGCAATATTTCGTAAATAAAGCATTCAGCACCATAGCTCTCCGAAGGTCGCTCGACACCGGTGCATCTCCACCAAACATTGCGATAATGATGTTTTAGGATAAAGGGCACTGAACTGTGCCGGTCATTCTTAGTCTCATCCGACGCTGACGAGTGACGATCGCTGGTCAGTCTCAGTGTCTCCGTCAGGATGAAGCGTTAACTAGGACCGATCGTGGCCGTCTCCGTTCGCCTCCTCACTGCCGCTGAGAGAGGCAGGGGAAGAGGAAGAAGCAGAGGAAGAGGAAGAGGAAGAGAGACGGGGAGAGAGAGCACGGCGTCCCGCCCCGAAGGGCAATCAATACACGATATGGGCCCGCGCCGTCCAATATTGTGAGCCGTAAAGGTGGAAAGCAGTTGAGTTTATGGCGGTGGCAGGCGGGCCGAGACGCCCGGCCGAGAAGACGGACCGAGTCAGCCACTGGATCGCCGCGCCGGCAGAACGGATACCGACGCTGCTGGAATGGTCAGTCACCGGAATGAACACCGTCCAGCGCCAGAATGGGTACGCCACTGTAAAGGCGGCCGCACAAGCTAGGCCATTCGGCGGGCGACATTCCGCAAAAGCGCAATTCCGTAGCGACATTACGCTTTTGTGGACGCCGAATCAGCTGCCGAAACGACAAAATTACCAGCCGACCGCTGCCAGCCAGCTGTCCGCGGGTAGAGTGCGCATGCGCGCGGACAGCCGCGGAGTTGCGGAAAAAGCTGGACCGGTTCAGCTTTTTCCGCGGCGACGCCGCGGACACCCGAAATTGTGGAACTTGAAACTCACCAACTATTGATGGAGCAGCCGAGAAATAGACTTCACTTGATAAAAAATCGTAGCGGCACTTCTTTCCCCATATTAAATGGTTTTTATACACTTCTTTGGTTATTCCAATAATGGGTTACTATGTGCCTCTCCACAATTGTCTTTAGGTTTCTTCAGGGGGCGTCGAAGTCTAGTTCCTACCAACCTGGCACTCCCATGCCTACGTCACCACGAGGACGCCCGAGGGCATTTACATGTTGAAGATAGGGAAATTGACATAGTTTAGAGCCGCCTGAAGGGCAACGTTGAGACAAATGATAATGTAAATGTGTGCTAATATGATCATTACCATGTTATTTATCCAAATCCAGGGCCAATTAATGGATAACTTGTCACGTTTTCCAGTGGTGATGCGCTAACTTTCGTGGTTCTTGCAGCCAATAAGGGTGTTTCATAGTGCGATTCAGCCGCATTATCGACTTTAATGCCCTAAACCGCCACGGAACATACGATTTGCAGCTTCCTGGCGTAATAGCTGCCAGTAGGGCTCCGGAGTCGGAGTCATGAAGTCGATCGGAATTGACAGTTCTGACCTGAGTCGTCGAGTCAGAGTCAGAGTCGATTTTAAAAGTTGGAATCTGAGTCAGTCACCGAAATTCGATCCCCTCCGCAGACCTTTCAGGGTTCCGTAGTCGGAGTTGTAGTCGGTCGGAGTCGACAGTTCTGACCTGAGTCGTCGTGTCAGAGTCAGAGTCGATTTTAAAAGCTGGAGTCTGAGTCAGTCACCAAAATTCGATCCCCTCCGCAGACCTTTCAGGGTTCCGTAGTCGGAGTTGTAGTCGATTGGAGTCGACAGTTCTGACCAGAGTCAGAGTCAGAGTCGATTTTGAAAGCCGGCGCCTGAGACGCCGGTAGCCGGCTAAACGAACAATGCCGGCCGACCCTTCCCCCCTGCCCCGGCGGCCCGCTCGGCGCGGCCGCCGCGCGGGCTGGCGCGCTCGGCGTGCGAGGGGACATGGGGCAGCGGACAGCTGACTGCTTCCGGCACTGGGGCCCCGAACGGGTCTCGCCGTGTAGAGTGCCAAACACCGGCCAGCGACCACCGACGGGACGATCACACTGCTGAATCTGCCAGACGTGCATACGACCGGGCACATCTGATGGTGGTGCGTGACCGACTAAGCAACGACACCACTCGTGAAGTAGCCGAGACTATCCGGCGCAGTCTTCCCGCGTATCTCATCCGCTGTCTTAATCGATCACGCCCCCTCAGCCCTGCGGAAGCGGCATGTGGACCCCGCCCCGCATCGAGGACTCTCCAGTCCAGCCGGCCGACCGACCCGCCCAAATTGCTGATCGGCGCCCTAAATATTCAAAGTATCAAACCCAAACTTCAAGAGCTGACCTGCGAACTCGCTCGTCGCAGCTACGACGTAATGGTGCTTTCCGAGACCTGGCTACGTCCGTCTACCCCGAAACGCCTCCTGGTCATTCCGGGCTACTCGCTCAGTCGTGTGGACCGCCCAGATGGCAGCGGTTATGGCGGCGTAGCCATCATCACTAAAAACAGTTTGACGTCAATGACACTGAAGATCCCCGGCAGCGGGAGCTCCGAAAGCAAGCTGGAGTCGCAGTGGGCGCTGCTGAAGCTGGACAAGGGCCAACAGATAATCATCTGCTCCCTTTATCGGCCACCCCGACACTCTGAGGCTGCCCTGCTCGCCGACTTCACGGACCTCGAGGCCCAGCTGCAGCGGGTCCTCATCGATTACCCCAGAGTTCCGTTCGTTCTCTGCGGGGACCTCAACTGTGACCTATTGAAGGGGCCGAGTTTCCGCGCGTCTCAACATCTGATTAGCTTCTTATCGAATTATTCTTTAGATCAACTAGTAACAAATCCAACTTTTACCTCCGGCTCTCTATTGGATGTATGTATTGTTAACAAACGCGAACTTGTGTGTGACACCAGCGTTAATTATTGTCACTTCAGTCCCCATAAAATCATCGACGTGATTGTCAATGTGCCGAAAGTGCGTCAAAAGCCCGCCGTTATCTCATCTCGCTCTTTTAAGCGCCTAGATCACCCTACACTGTATCACGACTTACTCGATGTCGACTGGGATTATGTCTTCTCTGCCGAAACTGTCAGTGACAAGTGGCATGCTTTCTTGTCGTTCTTCGTACCTGTTTTTGATGCCCATGCCCCAATCAAGCGTGTGTCTATCCGTAACCCGACCGCTCCTCCCGTCTCCGCCGCCACCCGTAACCTCATGTCTCAACGTCGCGCTGCGCTTCGCCATCTAGGCCGCAACTCGAGCGAATACAGAGACCTAAACCGCTCAGTCCGGGCGGCAGTGCGTCGAGACAGGCGAATAGAGATACGGAGGGAAATTGGGGAGCGGGGCCCCAACAAAGTTTGGCAGTGCATCAGGTCAGTGGTAGCCGCGAAGAAGGACGGCCCAGACGTCCAGCCCGATCTATCTGTCGATGATTTAAATTCATTTTTTGTATCTGTCGGTCCTCGTGTCGCTGACGAGATCCGAGCCCAAAACACTCCCACCGATTTGGATGTGCGTCTCACCCGTGTCGGCGCATGCACTTTTCAACTTCGTGAGATAACACTGGGGGAGCTCGAGCGGATTATTTTCAGCATGCGTAACTCGAGTGCCTGCGGCTCCGATAACGTCTGTGTCCGCATGCTGAAATTCGGATTCCCCGCTATTGGTGGTGTCATCCTGCATATTATCAATACCTGCTTAATCCAATCTGACATCCCCGATTCATGGAAACATTCCATAGTTCACCCTCTGTTCAAGTCTGGTAACCCTTCAGACCCCGCAAACTTCCGACCCATTTCCCTAGTTCCTGTAATCATGAAAGTAGTTGAACGCATTGTCCATCAGCAGCTCTACGCCTACCTCTCCCATAATCACCTTCTGGCATCCTCCCAGCACGGCTTCCGCCCCCGGCACTCCACGGAAACCGCGTTGCTGTCTGTCACTGAACACATCCTGGCCGCCACTGATAGGGGGGATTTGTCAATGCTATGCCTTCTCGATCTCAGTAAATGTTTCGACGTGATTGACCACGATCTTCTGATGCAAAAACTGATGTTACACGGCATTGAAATTTCCTGGTTCGCCGCGCA